CCCCCTACGGTCTTAGAAAAGCTTCACAACTCGGTACTTTTTTCACTTTTTGCCCATTTTTCGGAAATTTTCGATTTCCTCAAAAACTACCCGTCCAGATTTAGGATTAAGGGTTTAATCGATAGACCAGGTTGTAGGAAACTCCCATGCACAAGCGGCTGGTCCCTAACTTGCTTAGGGGAAGAGCTATAGACTTAGGAAAAGTCACTTTTTTGACTTTTTTGCCTATTTTTTCGGAAATTATTGATTTCCTCAAAAAGTACCCATCCAGATTTGGAATTAAGGGTTTAATCGATAGACCAGGTTGTAGGAAACTCCCCCGCACAAGCGGCTGGTCCTTAACTTGCCTAGGGGAAGAGCTATAGACTTAGGAAAAGTCACTTTTTTGACTTTTTTGGCCTTTTTTCAAATCTTTCCGATTTCCTCAAAAACTACCCGTCCAGATTTGGGATTAAGGGTTTGATCGATAGACCAGGTTGTAGGAACCCCCCATGCACAAGCGGCTGGTCCCTAATTTGCTTAGGAGAAGAGCTATAGACTTAGGAAAAGTCACTTTTTTGATTTTTTTGCTTATTTTTTCGGAAATTATCGATTTCCTCAAAAACTACCCATCCAGATTTGGAATTAAGAGTTTAATCGATAGACCAGGTTGTAGGAAACTCCCATGCACAAGCGGCTGGTCCCTAATTTGCTTAGGAGAAGAGCTATAGACTTAGGAAAAGTCACTTTTTTGATTTTTTTGCTTATTTTTTCGGAAATTATCGATTTCCTCAAAAACTACCCATCCAGATTTGGAATTAAGGGTTTAATCGATAGACCAGGTTGTAGGAAACTCCCCCGCACAAGCGGCTGGTCCTTAACTTGCCTAGGGGAAGAGCTATAGACTTAGGAAAAGTCACTTTTTTGACTTTTTTGGCCTTTTTTCAAATCTTTCCGATTTCCTCAAAAACTACCCGTCAAGATTTGGGATTAAGGGTTTAATCGATAGACCAGGTTGTAGGAACCCCCCTACACAAACGGCTCGTCCCTATTTTGTCTAGGGGAAGAGCTATACACTTAGGAATAGTCAATTTTTCGGTTTTTAGGCCATTTTTTCAAACTTTTTCGATTTCTTCAAAAAGTACCCATCCAGATTTGGGATTAAGGGTTTAATCGATAGGCCAGGTTGTAGGAAACTCCCCTGCCCAAGCGGCTGGTCCTTAATTTGTCTCGGGGAAGAGCTGTACACTTAAGAAAAGTTAGCTAATTCGATTTCATCAAAAATTTGTATAACGTTTTTTCTGAAATAACCAAACAGGTCTCTCCAGCTTCCAGCTGGGCCCCTATTGTCTAGGGAAACACCTAAGTACTTGAAAAGTTCCCTCATGAAAACTTTTTACCAAAGCGTTACCAATGAATGCATAAGCTTCTCTTTCACTTTTTTTTGCGTAGGAAGGGCGCTATCGGCTTGAGAAACCTGAAATTTTAAAACAATTTTAAAATAATCAATATTAAAATAATCAAACAGGTCTCTCCAGCTTTCAGCTGGGCCCCTTGTTTGAAGATTAAATTTGATCACAATTGTTAGTTTCACCATGCAAAATTTCGTTACATTATGAAAAGGTTAAAATTGGTTTGAAAACTGAAGTTCAAATATGGGGGGAGGAGGGTGGTGAAGTGGAAAAGAGCCAAGGACGTGAAATGAGACGCTGTTCCGCATGAGGAAAAAACGTATCAAAACAATCAGGCTTGAGTTCCGGCTATAGTTGAAAAATGTACTCGACTTTTTTTTGCAAAACATCACAAGATGACCCGCCATGAAAAGGCAAAACAGCTGGATTACATTTCCAATTGGTTCTTCTGTGGGCTAAAAAGGAGCTTGTTCGTTTCATCAGGTAAACAATGCACAAGCGTTTTCTACCGTGGTGAAAATAATGATTTATTCGGCCACTCAACCGATGGTGTTCATAGACGGGTTATTCTTTTTTCTATGCCCATGACACTCTACCCTCTCTCAGTGTTCAATTCTTATCCAAAAAATGATCGTTTCAATATGGCCTGCATTTCGTCTTGCAGGCAATAACTATTAATCAACTTTTCTCTGAACATGGGCAAATAAAGACAAACATCAATCCAAAAGAGCTGAAGCAACAATTGATGGAAGGCTGTTTTTGATAACCTTTTATTGTTGCAGGCAGATCTGCCATAACTGTGCAAGTTAAACGTTCCAAAACTTTCCATAATCAGCATGCCACACGCAGTACTGATCTAGCTTCGGGACTGCATAGTTCTTGTGATTTATGGAACGCTGATGATGAATTTCTGAAATGATGCGATTGAGGCATCGATTCAAAAATTGATTCTCTGGCAAGTGACGAATACATCCAGTTAAAGTAAGAGCTAACAGACCACTATAAGGCTCAATTTTAAAATAGTTTTTCTCCGGCGCAATAATCTCTAACACTGTATTGAAGAACTCAGAAGTGGGAGCGCAAAAAAATTGTGCATCACTGAGCTCTAACGGATTGGTTACATTGCCATCGAGAGTCGCGAAAAAAGTCTGTTTTGATGACAGCTTAGACCTGTATTTAATGAAGCGCACTACATTTCAGAAACCATTGAGCTGTGAATTTGGACAATCTCGATTTTGGAACAAATTAACATTTACAAGAAATTTACATGTTACATGTAAATTAATAATTAACAAGAAAAATATCAATCGGACATTTACGACGGCTTTTTGCAACCTTACTGTATGCCTGTGATTGTCATTTCGATGTCTGCAGAAATTGAGATCCTTATGCCTGACTACTTTCACATTCTATGAATCAGCCACAAACTTTTTGGTACTAAAGTGAGAGGGGTTATAACCCTGCCCTTAGACAGACAACCTTCGATATTGAAGCTAATCTAATAGCTAAGATTTTCTCGATTAAAACTAAAATTTTTTCAATTAAAAGCATCAATTGAATTGAGATTCACAAGATTCACAAGAAGGTATTGGATACTTTTCCCACTGGGGGGGGGGGGGGGGGGGGGGGGGGGCTTCGTTTGATTTTCTCTTTGTAGTTAGTAGCTAGTTATGATGTCTTGATGTCTAGGTCACTAAGTGAGGTTTTGTGTGAACCCTGGAAGCTAATTTTTTCGATCGATTGCCCTCAAAGCGTCCTTGAAATTACACGACTTCATAGAAAACACTTTTGCAACTGTCCTCAGAAAGAAAAACAAAAATAACCAATGGCTGTGCAAGTAGCACAGAATGTTCCGATCATATTCATTTCAAAAATGCATAAAACAATTTTCCACGTCTTTTTTTTGAAAATTGATGATGTTTTTGTGAGTTGTGTGATAAAAAGATCTGATGAAAAAATAGAATTTCGGTTATAGTAAAAAAAAATCTGATGAAAGTTATAGATATGAAAATTATAGATGAAAACTATACATCTGTTAGAGATCTTATGGAAACTAGAATTGACTGTTATAGGAAAATAGGCAAGTTGGGCAATGATTTATTAGAAAAAGGACATAGAAAAAAAAACAAAAAAAATATTTAATTTTTTTTTCTGAATTTTTTTCTTTTTTTTGCAGAAATTGTCTTGAAATTTGAAGTTTTTCATTGCAAAGATTGCATTAAAAAAGCTTCGAAAGACAAATTTACTGGAGTTCAACTAAAGTTGCATGACTAATTCTTCGATTATAAGCTTGTTCGCTTGCTTTACTGGCTCGAAATTAGACTAAAACTCAAGAATTTCGAAACGGTTTTTCTCAAAACTTTTCAAATTTTCTGAAAGATCTGAAAAAGCTGTAATTTGATATATCGCTCCACACAGTACTTTGATTTCTTAAGGTAAATAGCTTATTCGCTCATAATAAAAACTCGTGATGACCTCCATGCAGAAAAAATGCTTATCATACAATTCCGTAAAAGAAAAAGGCGTATCGTACGATTTCATACACAGAGTTGTATGAAAATTGTATGAAAAGCACTGCTTACAGTGATGTATAAAAAACTTCTAAGGAAGAAAAAAAAACAAAAATTAAAATAGTTTTTCTTAATTATCAATTGCAATATCAATTTTAAGCTCAAATAAGCAATTATTGAAAAAAAAATTGCCTACAAAAATTAATTAATTTTGTCTATAGCGTAGTCCAGGCTGAATTTTTTAAACCACAGAAACCAAATTGCTTAAAAGATGATGCGCAAATCCAATTTTAGTTTTTAAAAATATTTTTATATTAAAAGATACACTTCAATATACCAATAAAGACGTGCCATGATTTTCGACTAGAACAATTTTTCGCAAAAAAATTTTGTGCTATGAGCAAAAGTTTAAGGTTTTACTTTATAGTTTTGAAAAATCTGTGAAGTAATGTCTAAAAGTTATTAAGGTATCTGTGAGACTTTTCTTCAACCGAGGGGGTTTCTTGTGTAAAGAAATCCATGGCTATTGTGTTTTTGAAGAAAACAATAATATTACCAAAATAGTTTTTTGAAAAATGATATGTTTTCGATTTATGTCAAAATGCTAAACATATTTTTTTCATTTATGAGAAAAAGCGTTATGTAGAGTGTTCTTACATTTTTCTACAACGGAATTATAGAAAATTGTATAATGAACGTTTTTTCATCTATGAAATTTGTATGACAAGCATTTTTGGTCAACTCGAGAAGTTTCAAAGTGAATTTTCTTGACATTGGGATGATTTTTTAAATGTTATTCAAATTACAACTGAAAAAGCTTTAATATGACGTGTCATTCGACCCATTCCAAGGATTATTGGTGGTACTTGATTTTGCGTTGAAAACAAAAATACATAAAGATAAAAACCAATACCCAAATACAAAGTTCCTCCCCATTTTGATTGGTCGGAACAAAAACTCAACCCATGAACAAGAGTTTCGGCCAATCACATAGCATATTCATCAGTTTTTGCATGTTGCAAGAGCTTTGGAAGATGAATTCTCGAGATGGAGACTTTCAATATTTGGCAGAAAAAGTTTTTTACCGAACTTTAATTACTAAATGCTTGACTGTATTTTTGCATCAAAACCAATTCGAGGTGTTTTGATTTACAATATCTGTGGTTTTTAAATTTAGTATTGCAAAATTTATTTATGAGTCTTTCTTATCATGTTTGCCCATTAAAAATAGCCCTTTCCACAAAATATCACAGCGTGGCGAGGCATACGAAAAAAGGTTCAATTTTTGAAAGGTTTTAAGCTTTTTTAAAAAAGGTTTTGCACCGACGCAAATTAGAGGCGGATATGTACGTACCATGGCATCGTTGAATCAAGAAAGGGGAAATTATACATGCACAACCTTATTTGTCAAGCATAATTAGTTATTACCTGCATTTTTTATGTTGGGACTGGGAATGAATGCGTCAAAACATGAGCCACAGGTTTTTTTCAACTACTTTCTTTTTCTGTTTCCGATTATATTCCCCTTCCGTTAGAATTAGTAACAAAAAACACAGGTTTTGTATTAGCAGTTTGCGGTTTTTGTACTATGGTGTTGATAATTTTCGTAGGGCTCTATAATAACAAAAGCTCTCTCTTTTAATGGTCGAAAGCATGACTCAAATTCGGAATAATCTGTGCTACTTCCGTAATAAAATTGGGCTCGTTTTAAAATGGTAACAAAAAAAATTTGACGAAAATCAAATTAATTTGTTTTTCAGCTGCAGATGTGTTTTCCCCTCGCAGCAGATGCAAAACATGTGCAATAGAAATACAAGCAACAGCTGCTCTGGCCAAATACGAGGCAGCCAACAGACATGTTGATACGGCTAAAGACAGAGTCAACGCAAAATCAACTAAAACACTGAATTATCATGTAACAGTCAACAGTTGTGACAAAGAGCTTACTTCGCAGAAAGCAGACAAAAGTGCTTCGAAAAAGGAGCGTGAAAAGATGCAGGTATGTAGAAATAAGACGAGATCCGGATGATAGCTAAAAGAGGTTAGTAACTTCTAAATAGATGCCATTACCTAGTTTCAATTATTTCATAATACTTTTATTCAATGAGGATAAATCCGGCAAATTCAGAAACTGAAAGAAGTAAATTTAGTGCTTTTCGTTTAGAAGAAATTTCTGACATCCGTTGGTGAAATAAGCTTACTTTCAAACACCCACCAACAACTTTATTCTAGAAATAACAACCCTAAAACGCAGAGAGCATATTTTTTCATTTAGAACTGACAAAACTCAGTTCATTTTATTGTAATTCTAAGAAATAAAATAGAAAACTTCAGATGAACCTTGGGATTTTTTTTACATAAACATTTTTTAAAATATATATTTTTTTTACTGATGGGAGTATCATCGGTGAAGTCTGATCAGAGGCATGCTTCATTTTTTCGCTATGATCAGATCTCTTCTGAATCTTTCCCGCACTCATATAAAAGAAATGCGAATTGATTTTATTGTTCCGACTTTCGATGCGTGGGGTTTTTTTTTCCTTCAGACAAATTTCGATTTTTTAACTAGCCATTTTTGACATTTTTTTTCTTTCGAAAGGTATTGTTGTCCTGAGCTCAAATTTGAAAAGATACTTTACCAGTGATTATTTTTCTTCGTAAAGTTACGGGAGTTTAAAGATTGCCATTATGGACAATTTGGGGCAATTAACGCGCGATATATTTCGCGCTATTAACGCGTAAGCCGAACGTTATTCTGTCTTAAAAATTGTTCCATATTAGTTGAAAGAATCTAATTTACGATAATTAATTTGTTACAAGGAGCGAAATCTATCCTTTTGTGCTTTATATGGCGTGTATTAAGATGATTTTCATTAAGAAATTCAAAATTTAGAAAAAAAAGTTTCATTTTAATTTATTTCATTTAATTTTTTATTGTGCTGACTGCACCATACACCTTGAAAGGCAGTCGGAACATGCGTTACGAGCAGTCGGAAAGGCTGTGTTACGAGCAGCTTTGTTTTGTTTCAGTTTTACTGTTCATGAGTTTGTGAAAAAACCGTAAAACTCATTTACTATTTGATTGAAATTGTTTTACTAATTCTTAGTCGCAACTGTGATTCTGATCAATTCTAACCCATTTTGCTGAATTGCGACTCACTATATTTTTTTTTAAAAAAAACTGTAATTGTTGATAGTCGATTATATGGACTTTTTGTGGTTTGTCCCAATGAAAATCTGAAAGAATCGAATTATAAATTATATTGATACTAGCTTGAAAGTAACAAAATTGACTTTTTAATTGATTATTATCGATTGTAATTGAATCTAAATTAATTTTTTTTTTCAAAATTTTTTTATTTTTCAATTAGTTAGGCGTTTCATAGACTTTGAGTAATATAACGTTGTTAATGTTACATAGCATTAAAGTTGAAAATATAGTATAAAATCAGTATAGTTGCCTGGCAATACCAGCTGTGGGTTCGAATGTCATTAAGTTCGACCTGTGTTCGATTCTCACCTCAGTCGTTTCGTGTGAGAATCCTATTTGAGCCGAACTTGATAGAAAAATAAAATGCTAATGTCTTAATCGGTTCGAAGTTGGTTTGCAGAAAACAGAACTGAAAACTCTGAAAACAGAACTGAAAGTGCGAAACAACTTGGGAGGGAAGAACAAAGCACTGTACAAGACTAGTCTCTGTCACAACTACAGATTGCTCGGGGTGTGTCCTAGTAGAAAGAACTGTTCTTCCGCACATGGTCAACCAACAGTCATTAGGGACCTTGAAACGACTTTCGCAGAATCAAGGAACGACACCCCGGCATAAGTTTGTGCGACCTTAGTCTACAAATCAAGAAGCCTTCAAATAGCGAAACGTACTAAATGACAGGCAAGCCGACGTGGTCATTGCGAGACGAGTACTTGGGGGCCTAGGCCTAATTATAGGTGTCGAGTTGCACCCTTATCCTGATTGGAAACACTGTGGATTTTTCTCAAAACGCGATATTTCTGGATTTTTGGTCTACAAACCGCTGAATTTTTCTCCATGCAAAAGTTTGTAAGACTGAACTTGTGTTTTAACTAACTTTGAACCACTAATTTGTGCTAGTTTTTTAACCCAAAATAGTGCTACTTTTTGATGATCAGTGCTATAAAATTATATACGATGTTGTGGATTGCAAACCGATAAAGACCCTATTAGATACCCTCACACTTGTGAAAAAAAATCCAGAAAATTCTCAAAAAAAAATTCTCAAAAAAAGAAAAACTTTACCAGCTTTTCCCGAAATAATCACTGACAAAAACGAAACTTTTTTGTCTGAATATAGGGCAAAGCTGGAAAACACCGTTTTCGTTTCGCCCGTTCAATCATTAAAACCGTCAACCCTGTCGAGCAAGTTTTCTGAGTGAATCCCTACCTCGGTTTCCTCCAGTGGTTGGATAATCTTTAAAAACTTGCTCGGCTGACCCCGTTTTCGAACGCATACTGCCCCGACCCTTACTACTACCGTTTTGCCGTGACGTTCTTAAGTTTCAGCGATAAACTGTACGCGTTAACGTAGACAGTACCGAAACGAAGCATTAGTAGAACCTTAGAAACACTCAGCTAAAAGGTTTCTAAAGTTATTATCGTCATAATTGTTATTTTTTATTTACATGTGACGAATTTACAACAAGAGACTCCATAAGTTAATTGCCATTAAAACACCCGTATCCTTTATCACTCTCACTGGTATTCACCATTTCTGCGAGTTCTCTCCATCACTCCGTAAATACATTATCATTAACCCTACAAAAACGCCTCGACGACCTTTTTAAAGCAGTTCCCGGTTTGAGCTTTAATTTGAACGAAAATAAAAGACAAAAGACTGTTCAGTATCTTTTAAGCAATTCATCAAAATGTATGATACAGAAAAACATTATAATTTGGCTCGATGATACAAATAATTTATTGAGCAAGACCAAAAAGTTACACCAGAAAGTCTTATTGAAGTTCTAAAAGTAGATAAAAACAAAATATCAGCCATTATTTAGGTACACCGTCAAAAGACCTGCAAAGTTTATGGAGGTTTGGTTGCTATAGGAATATCCACCACTGATGAGACCAAACATTTAACCTCAAAAAGAATAGCTAACGACTAAGAATTAATTCGTAAATTTAAATTATTTCATCCTCCCGCGTTAATAAGTTTGAGAGTCACTCGACGTCAATTCCCCAATCTGTCCGAGCTTATCAATAAAAGTAAAAAGCGTCGAACTAAATTAACGAAAAGAAAAGCAAATACGCATAAGATTCCGCAAACGACAGCAGTCGAAGATTTTTTAACGTTTCATAGACATTATTAATCTTATCTTTTTTTTTTCAAAAGTTAAATTCATCTTTAAGTTTAGTCTTGTAGCTTGTTGTCCTTCAGTTCCGTAGGCAACGAGAGTCGTAAGGATCAGGCGAGGATCGTCTTGTTTGGTATAGGGCAGCTACTTGAACTGATTTTAATGTGGTTTCGTCATTCGACGCTTCGTTTTTTTTGGCTCTTATTTAAAATCAAAAGCCTAAAAAAAACAATTATTTCAAAATGGAGCTCAACCTCGGCCAGATACGAAACAAAATCTATCTTACCAGGAAAGAGTTGGATTTTTGTGATTACCATGCCAAAATTACTGAATATATAAGTGCGAATGATAGACCAGCTAAAATTTGAACGTACTCGAAAAATCTAGCAATTGTTACAAAAAAATATAGAGAAAAATTATGAGATCAAATCTCTGTCTTTGCACAGCACCAACGCTGCTTAAACCATAAATCAATTTGAATTTTACCTAGGATCTATCACTGCAGAAAACGCCGCTGTGTAACGTCTACCAAAAAATACTGGGAAAAAGAAACTCAAGAGGACAATGTAGCCACTGCACGAACAACGACGCCAAGCGAAACCGTACGTTACAAGAAACTTCTTTCACAGCGTTCTAAGATTGCATCAATGATTTCGAGTGAGCGTCTAATAGAGGCAGCCCTTGCAAAAATCTGACGAGGAAGTTGAACGGCAGAAAGAAGCTAAGCTTCGTTTGAAAAAGCAAGAGATTTACATTCAGTCGATTAAGGGTCATCTTGAACTTGACGTGGTTGTAGAGGAAAGCCGTCAAAAGCTAGCAGAAGCAACTAATGAGCCTGAGTACCTGGAAGACGCCTCTGAATACTGTAGGCTTCGTCGTAGCAGGTCGAAATTGGCAATGGCCGTTCAGAAGAAGCAAACGGAGAAATACAGGACAAGAAAATGGGTGAACCCTCAATTCCCAGCTCAGGAAATAATTCAGCCCGTGGCGCAGGTCCAAAGTGTCATCCTGGAGACTGTTTCCGAGTTCTTGTCAGTTTGAAAAATTGAACCGCCTTTCAATACGTTGAGTTGAGTATCAGTAGAAATCTGGCGATGGTTCACAACTCTCATCCAAAAGCTAAATGTTTCCAAACCACGTGTATAGACTCACAGAATGTTAACGTCCCTCATACGCCAAGTCCAAATGTAAATAGTACAAATCAGCCGTAGGAACAGCTGCCTTTGACAAACTTATATGGTTAAAACCCTTTGATGCAGAGTAGTTTTCGTCAGTCTACTTCCCGACGAGCTCAATGCCCATTGCCCAACAAACTTTTTTCCATATACTTCTGCTAGCTTTGTACACCAACGTTGGACCTCTCAATCCTTTATTACTCACATTCCCCTCTAATCCATTTTATGTCACGCAGCCATTGAATGTTCAACCGTTCTCTTGCGGGGGAACAACTTTTAATGTCGGTAATCGTAATGCTGTAGACGCCGCTACTTATTCGAAATCGCTGGCGGCGCCTTATACAAGTGAGAACAAACAATCTGGGCCAACTCCGTCTTCAAGCAGTAAGCCAATCACTAATCAAGATTTAGCTGAAATCTTGACACTGTGCCAGAAAGGTCCCTTGCCTGAGTGGAAGGTGTCTTCTTTCGACGGATATTTGCTGCAGTGGCCTGAATGGTTTGGTCAGTTCAAAAGCGCAATCGATGCAAAAATTATGAGTGATGATCTCAAACTGACATATCTCAAAACCCTCGTATCAGGCAAAGCAAAGAATGCAATTGCCAAATTTGCATAAAGTTGAACATTATACAGGGAAGGTTTGAAAATTTTGGAGAGGAAACTCGGACACCCACAAACGGTTGCGGCGGCTAGTCTCGAAAATTTTCAATTTTCCCCCTCTCAAAATGCACACATAAGAAAGCATTATCAGTTTTGCTTCTGTTTATCCAGTCTTGTTGCTGTTTTAGAACCGTTAGGATATGAGTACGACTTAAAAAGTACATCCGTTCTGAATCAGGTTATTTCAAAATTGCCTCCAAATATCAAAGAGTCGTGGTCTCTTCACTCCGCAAAGAGACGTTGGAGACAGCCAAACGTTTTAGATTTTGTTGAAAGGCTCCGCGACAAGGTTGAGGCGCATGAAATTATGCGTGTCAGTCAGAATAAGTCACGTCCTGAGGAGGCTCTAAAGACTGGTTTCCATAAACCACCCACAAAAGTTTTTGCCGCTGCTTCAAAAGTTGAAAAACAATTTTATGCTCGATGCTTCCAGTGTACGGGTCAACACCCACTCTGAAGTTGTTCTGATTTTAAGGAAAAGACCTCAACTCAACGTGCTCAATTTTCCGCGCAAAATAGGTTGTGTGTTTCCCGACCACATGTTCCGGAAATGCCCTAACGCCCGCAAATGCACTAAGCCTGGTTGTGAAACACCCACAATAACTTGGTGCATGGTGCTGAGAAAGTTTTCAGCGTAAGGCTCGCAAACAAAGGGTCATACAGTAGCGATAACAGAAACCTTTCTAATTCAAACAATAACGCCCCGGAATAAACCGCAAACTTCGTCGTCGAACGTAGCCGGTTCGCGTCGTCTTACAAGAAACTAACGGGACTCCTTCCTATGCTTCGATTGGAAATAACTTCACACACAGACGTGACAACTGCTCTTGTAATGTGCAATTCCTGTTGTACCCACACATGGTGCTCGCGGACCTAGCACAATGTTTTAATTTAACTGGCCAAAAGCTAGATATTCTGGTTAACGGCTTCAATTCGACGGAATCCTTTCCCACGCAAGAAGTCGAAGTGAACTTGTTTGCCAAATTCGACCACCATGAAAACTCGTTTAAGGTTACGAAAATTGAAAAAGACCGTTTGAGTGATGGTTCCGAAACCATTGACGTTCCCACTCTGCAAGACAGGTTTCCACATCTGCAGCCAGTTGATACTATTGTCTACAACTACTCAGACGTTGAGATGATATTGGGGCAGGATGTCTTTCAAGCAATCAAATCCTCTCGAATACTTACAAGGAGGAAATCAAAATAAGTTGTCGCTTTCCGCATTCCCTTTGGCTGGGTTCTCAGTGGCCCGCTTCCATCACTAATTGGTGTTCGAGCCGCCACTTTCAAGTGCAATGTTGAAGACGTAGCACTTGCTGACCAGGTGAAAAAATGGTACGAACTAGAATCGTATGGCAGTTTCAAACAAGCTGATCTCAGTTCTGCAGCTGAAAAACATGCTCAAAAATTCTTGACCCTACCACGCTTCATGATGGCAGTCGTTAAAATGTCGAATTGCTCTAGGTTGAAGACAACCTTCATCTACCCGAAAACTTTCACGCTTCACTGGTCCAATTTAAGTCTCTTGAAAAGCGTCTTGAAGGATATCTGGCGATTGAGTGGCCAACAGTGGGACGACCCACTGCCAAATGAGTTGTGCCGCAGATTTACTGAATGGTACTCCGGCTATTTTGACAACCTCGTTGCAACTTTGACT